ATCCTGTAGGGTTTGTTTGTTTGTTTTTACCATGTGATTGCGCAGTCCACAATGATTGTACATTATCGTTATTACATTACGCATTATATGTATATTTATTTAAAAAAAAACCTTTAAAAGTTATTTCAATGCTGACTTTCCCCCCACAAAAGAGAAAAGAAAATAAACCAAATAATTTCAGCTCCTGCTAGCTTGACCGCGACTTTGCTCATGTAACCTACACTTTGAGCGGAACCTCACGCGGGGACGACGTTGCTAAACGTAGTTATTTTTGCGTCGGACCGCGGGGGACAACGCTGCAAAATCAGACCCCTGTAGTTTGTAGTTCACACATTCTTCAAGTTTTTCTTTAGAAGACGAAAAGAAATTCAGGTAGTTGAAGTTGTAATGATGTTAAACACTACTGCGTGAGGCCGTTTAATGTCCTGTACTTTGGCTTGACTTAAAAAAAAGACTCTTAAACACAACATATTAAGGGGCAAACAGCCTCTCTGTGGCCGCTTGTTCGAATGTCCTGCACGCTGGTTGGCGCCTCTGGAGCTCGGATCTCCCTGGAAGATGGACGGGCTGTGATTCTGGGCCGGGATCCGGACACTGGTGTCACAGATAAGAAGTGCTCCAGACATCAGGGTGAGGCGTCCCGCTTATGTGTCACATTTATCGCGAGACTCTAGATTTAAATCTGCGAAGCTGTTAGTGCTCGTGCTCTGCTGAAGCTTAACTTTATAACAAACCATCCTAAAGCTGTAAATTACTTTACAGTGTACAACGCAAGAAAATACTGCTAATGTGGCTGTAAGCTTTAATTCATTCATGTATTTATGTGAGAAAGTAAATCAGTGGGGCTGACTGAGTTTTGTGTTTTGAGTGTCTTGCATTCACTCTACAAGTCACTAACAGGGATTTAAACTCATGATGACTGAACTTTGGTTACAGTTTTACATGCATATATATGTACTTAATAAGTGAGGAGCTTAAAATAGCATCCACGGGGAGTCAAATAGAGCAAGAAAAAGAACCAGGCTGGTACTTTTTTTCTCTTTGAAAATCAGTAGGTATGTATATAAATGTTTTAGTGGGGCCAGATGTGCCCTACAATAGTTTTTTGGGAATCACCATATTGGTGCAAACATACAGTTTTTTGCCTGGCAGAGTGAGTTATCTTTGATATTTCTCATAGGTTCAATTAAAGAAATGGCAACAAATGACTGTGTTCTTGCAACACAGTTTGGAATTGGTTCTTTAACTTTTATTTAAAGACACAACAATACTTCCTTCCTTGACTAGTTCAGTGTTAAGTGGCTTAAAAAAATAAAATAAAACAAAACAAAATTTAAAAAAACCTCTCTGAAAACGGTCAGGTACAAGGAGTGGATTGAAAATGAGTGAAAAAGCAGCTAATGTCCAAAGAAAACTTTGAAGACCTTGAGAAATCCAGGAGGACTATTACTTAAGACTTATTTTTAAAAAAACAAGTCTGTTAAAGTATAAAGACAACATGGGTGGCTCAAGACCTTTTTTGCACAGTGCTGTATGTAATGGCACATGGTAATTTTCAAAATTAGCCGAGGCATTTTTTTTATGCATTTCGTTTTCATATTGCAAAATAAAAACTGCATTTAAATGAGTTAGAAAGTTGTTGTTTTGTCTTCTTTTAGTTTTTTTGGTCCCAGCTCTAGATGTGTATACATACGAAATGTGTGTGTGTCTTTTTATTTATTACAGTGAAGGTGGTGGCTTGCTTTGCA